AAAGCCACAGTCATCAAGACAGTATGGTAGTGGCACAAAGACAGAAATACAGATCAATGGAACAAAATAGAAAGCCCAGGGAGAAATCCACATACCTATGGACACCTTATCCTCGACAAAGGAGGCAAGAATATACAATGGAAAAAAAGACAACCTCTTTAGCAAGTGGTGCTGGGAAAACTGGTCAACCACTTGTAAAAGAATGAAACTAGAACACTTTCTAACACCATTCACAAAAATAAACTCAAAATGGATTAAAGATCTAAACATAAGACCAGAAACTATAAAACTCCTAGAGGAGAACATAGGCAAAACACTCTCTGACATAAATCACAGCAGGATCCTCTTTGACCCACCTCCCAGAATATTGGAAATAAAAACAAAAATACACAAATGGGACCTGATTAAACTTAAAAGTTTTGCACAACAAAGGAAAGTATAAGCAAGGTGAAAAGACAGCATTCAGAATGGGGGAAAATAATAGCAAACGAAGCAACAGACAAAGGATTAATCTCAAAAGTATACAAGCAACTCCTGCAGCCAATTTCAGAAAAATAAATGACCCAGTCAAAGCATGGGCCAAAGATCTAAACAGACATTTCTCCAAAGAAGGCATACAGATGGCTAACAAACACATGAAAAGATGCTCAACATCACTCATTATCAGAGAAATGCAAATCAAAACCTCCATGAGGCCAGTCAGAATGGCTGCTATCCAGAAGTCTACAAACAATAGATGCTGGAGAGGTGTGCAGAAAAGGGAGCCTTCTTACACTGTTGGTGGGAATGCAAATTAGTACATACACTATTGAGAACAGTGTGGAGATTCACTAAAAAACTAGAAATAGGACTGCCATGTGACCCAGCATTCCCATTTATGGGCATACACACCAAGGAAACCAGAACTGAAAGAGGCACATGTACCCCAATTTTCATCGCAGCACTTTTTATAATAGCCAGGACATGGAAGCAACCTAGATGCCCATCAGCAGACAAATGGATAAGGAAGCTATGGTACATATACACAATGGAATATTACTCAGCCATTAAAAAGAATTCATTTGAATCAGTTCTAATGTGATGGATGAAACTGGAGTCCATTACACAGAGTGAAGTAAGCCAGAAAGATAAACACCAATGCAGTATACTAAGGCATATATACGGAATTTAGACACATGGTAATAATAACCCTATATACAAGACAGAAAAAGAGATACAGATGTATATAACAGACGTTTGGACTCTATGGGAGAAGGCAGGGATGGGATGATCTGAGAGAACAGCATTGAAACATGTATATTATCAAGTGTGAAGCAGATCGCCAGGCCAGTCTGGATGAATGAGAGAAATGTTCGGGGCTGGTGCACTGGGATGACCCAGAGGGATGGGATGGGGAGTGAGGTGGGAGAGGGGTTCAGGATGGGGAACACATGTAAAACCATGGCTAATTCATGTCAATGTATGGCAAAAACCACTACAATATTGTAAAGTAATTAGCTTCTAACTAATAAAAATAATTGGGAAAAAAATTAGGAAAAAAAGCTGTGGTACATATACACAATGGAATATTACTTAGCCATTAAAAAGAATACATTTAAATCAGTTCTAATAAGATGGATGAAACTGGAGCCCATTATACAGAGTGAAGTAAGCCAGAAAGATAAACACCAATACAGTATACTAATGCATATATATGGAATTTAGAAAGATGGTAATGATAACCCTATATGCAAGACAGAAAAAGAGACACAGATGTATAGAACAGACTTTTGGACTTTATGGGAGAAGGCGAGGGTGGGATGATCTGAGAGAACAGCATTGAAACATGTAGATTATCAAGTGTGAAAGAGATCGCCAGTCCAGGTTGGATGCATGAGACAAGTGCTTGGGGCTGGTGCACTGGGAAGACCCAGAGGGATGGGATGGGGAGGGAGGTGGGAGGGGGTGCATGATGGGGAACACATGTAAATCCATGGCTGATTCATGTCAATGTATGGCAAAACCCACTACAATATTGTAAAGTAATTAGCCTCCAATTAATAAAAATAAAAGGAAAAAGAAAAGATTCATTCACCCCTATGTTCATAGCAGCACAGTGTACAATAGCCAGGACATGGGAACAGCCTAGATGTCCATCAACAGATGAATGGATAAAGAGGACATTGTATATGCCTATACACACTCACAATGGAATACTACTCAGACATTTAAAAAATGAAATCATGAGATTTGCCGCAGCATGTATGGACCTGGAGATTAACATAGTAAGTGAAGTAAGACAGAAAGACAAAGACAATTTTCATATAATGTCACTCATATGTGGAATCGAAAAGGAACATATCAGTGCAACAGGAACAGGCTCAGACATAGAGAACAGACTTGTGGTTGCCAAGGAGAGAAGGATTGGGAGCTTGGGATTAGCAGATGAAATCTACTTTTACATAGAATGGATAAACAATGAGGTCCTACAGTATGGCACAGGGGAATTCTATTCGGTATCTTGCTGTAAATCATAATGGAAAACAATACATTTGTCAAGCTGAATCAATTTGCTGCACAGCCGATATGGACTATACTTCAATAATTATTTTTAATTAAAAAAATTTGCAGTTTATATATCTGCAATGAAAGAGTACATGGCAGTAAAAATGCACAAACTGAAACAACAAAGAATACAGATCAATTTTGAAGCATGATATTAAGTAAGTAAAAGGAAATTTAAGAACCCTAGACTTTACTCTTACTCCATTACACACCTAATAATCAAGAGGAGACCGGATTTATTACCTAGGGAGCATAACTAATCTAAGCATCCTCACTCCTAGCAAATTGGTACAGAATCACAGCCCTTACTCGGGTTCCATCATGCCCATGAACAAATGGTGACCTGGGTGTTTGTCTGCCCTTGGAATCCTGAAACAACTGGAAAATTTTGTCCTGGTTTGGAACTGACTGTTGAGGACACGTCCCTCACTCAAGCATACTGGAGCTTGGAAGTCTCTCCTTTACACATTTTTATGTACAAAGCAAGGTTGTCCACCTTTTCTGGCAAAACAATTCCACACCCCCCAAAAAAACCCACAATCATCTTGCACACACATTTTTTTTGTGTACACGTATGGTCCTTGGATTGGCAAGAAAGAAAGAAAGACAGAGTGTGTGTGTGTGCAAATGTTCCACTCATAGTCAGGAAATAATTTCAGATAAAAAGAATAGTCAGGGGAAGACAAATATCACATGATATCGCTTATTGGTGACATCTAAGAAAATGAACTTATTTACAAAACAGATTCAGAGAGAATGAACTTATGGTTACCAGGTCAGATGGTGGGTGGGGGGAGGGATAGATTGGCAGTTTGGCTTTGACATATACACACGGCTATACTTAAAATGGATGACCAACAAGGACCTACTGGATAGCACAGGGAACTCTGCTTAATATTCCGTAACTAGCTATGTAGGAAAAGAATTTGAAAAGCAATAGATGCATGTCTGTGTATAACTGAATCACCTTGTTGTACACCTGAAACTAACACAGTTTCTTAATAACCTATACTCCACTATATAATTTTTTTAAATATTCAAAGAGCCATAATACACATGTCTCCTTCTCTTATAAGAATGCAGAATCAAATTCTATTAATGAGTCCGTAATTGGCAACCTGCACTGAGCCTGAAATACGAAGTGGGCACCTGTGATTTCTGTTCTGCAAAGAGTTACGGGTAATAACATTTATCATGAGCTTGGGGAAAGCATCCTGCATGGTATATACTGGATTTCTTCAGAAGAGCTATGTTTCTTATGAACATCATCTTTTAAAGCATTTTTACATTATCAGGGCAACATGCCATCTCTTATGTAAAAGCATGAGGGGATTGTTGGAATTCTTGGACATTCTGGTTGAGGATACATATTAATTTTAGATGTTTTCTCTGCACTGAACCCCATGGTTTGTTTTATAGAGAATGAGTAACAACATGTCAACCAGGAAAATGAATTCCAGGTAACATGATTGAAAAAAACAATTGTTTTAAATTCAAGAGCAGAGAGTCCTTAGAAATCTTTGCTGAAAGTAAATCAGTGTGGTTTTTTTCCTGTGGTTACCATTACACATTAAGCAGTTAGTAACCCTGCACATTTTTTTTTTTTGGCTGGGCTTCATGGCTTGGGGGATCTCATCTTAGTTCCCCAACCAGTGATTGAACCTGGGCGTTCAGCAGTGAAATCAGGGAGTGGCCACTGGGCCACCATGGAATTCCCAGACCTGCACAACTGAAGTAGAACTCGTCATCAAGAGAAGGAAAGGAACTGAGTCAGTCTTTCTTCAAACAAGATGTTCATAGAAACTAAGCCTCTGAGTTGGTAAAGAATCTGCCTGCAATGCAGAAGACCCGGGTTTGATTCATGGGTTGGGAAAATCCCCTGGAGAAGGAAACGGCAACCCTCGCCAGTATTCTTGCATGGGAATTCCCATGGACAGAAAACCCAGTGGGATGCAATCCATGGGGTCACAAGAGTCGGACACCACTTTGGAACTAAACCACCACCACCAACATGGTATGCAGTGAATCACCATTACTACTTCCTGAAGGCAGCAAAACCTGTTCAAATCCTCCTACGTCCATAGTGTTTAGGGAAACAAAAAGTGATGCTCGGGTTACGAGGCCTGCTGAGTGACGAGGCTCAGGTCAGACTTCCATCCCTAGCGCAAGAAGAGGCTGCCCATCTTCCCCTGTGACCTGCACCAGGCTGACCATATGAACAACAGTGCCCGTCTCCCGAATCCTGTGACTCAGTCAGCTTTGCTCAGTCCTGCCTCCTGCCTCACAGAAGCAGAGCCATGTGGCCCACACTCCTCAGCATCCTGGAAAGACCCGGTAGGAGAGGTTTATGGTGGAAATGGGGAGTCTCCACACCACTGACCAGGTTCCCTGGATGAGGGTGCAGGAAGCATGGGGTCCATCAGGACAAGCCATCTCTGACGGGCTTTTCCTTCTAGGATTCTGTGTGAGTCTGAGGATCTGGGCAGCTGTGGGTGAGTCCTCCACATCCCTTGTTTCTGTGTTCAGCAGAGCAGGCGGGGCTGAGGCAGATGACACTGGGGTCAGGGTGAGACCCCTGTCAGTACAGTTAGAGCCGCATGCTCTGTGGACACCAGGTCCTCCTATTGGCCTTGATACTCATCTTCACTCTCCCCAGAGGTTAGCCCAGCTCTGGACTCTGTACCTTAAGGGACAATGTGAAGTCTGGGAGCTAGGAGCTGGGCCCCCTGAGTGCCATTACTATCACGAGAGGAATTGAGGGGCTGCAGCCCACATACCCCTCTCCAACAAGGTGGCATCTCCAACCGGCCCTTAGTGATATGCCCGATGTCCGAATCCCTGAGCGGGAAGAGAGAAGGCCTCCAAGACAATGCAACTCGCAAAAAGGGAAGTTTATTGCTGACTCGAGTCAGGGCTCCTGACGCATCCAACGCAGTGGTGCGGGGTCAGAGAGCCCTGAGCCCAAGCTGTTATACAAATTTATAGGGTGAGCACATGCCTTTGCTAGTTGGTTTAAGCGGATTGCAAAGCAATTTCATTGGTCAAAACTTTCGCGCACATGGGACTTTGCTGAGGGTTTCCACCCCGTTCCTAAATGGCGAAGAGCGGTCAGTGCTAAGCAAAAGCTGATCCAGGTGGCCTAATAATCTTACCACCCAGAAGTAGGAAGGCCTACTCCTAATCTAAGCTGTCTGCCATGGCATTACTTCTGCTCGCCTCACACTTAGCAACAGGATCTGCAGGACCTCCCGCTAGAACTGACCCCAGGGGAGGGGCTGAGCATCAGGCAGGGCCACCTGGACCTGGTCACACATTTGATGGAGGCTAGCTAAAAAACGAGTGAGGTTCATGGTTTTCTTCCTTCTTTTCAGTCAAGTGGCTTTTTCTCTTCTTAGTTGTGTTATTGTTAGTCACTCAGTCATATCCAACTCTGCGACCCCATGAAGTGGAGCTCACCAGGCTCCTCTGTCCATGGGGTTCTCCAGGAAAGAATACTGGAGGGAGTTGCCATTTCCTTGCCCAGGGGATCTTGCCAGCTGAGAGACTGTAATCTGCTCTCCTGTATTGCAGGAATATTCTGTACCATTTGAGCTACAAGAAATGCAACAGGGAAGTCCTTTCACTTCTTTTCCATGCATCAATTTCTCTCTGGTGTTTTCTTTAGCCTGCAGTGTGCAGCTTGAAGGATCTCAGTTCCCTGATCAGGGATCAGCCCAGGCCCTTGGCAGAGAAAGTGCTGAGTCCATATCTCTGGACCACCAGGTTATTCCCAGTGTTTTGTGTTTTGAGGGAAAGTTTCTCAAAGTTTTGTCAACCCAAGGAATGATTCTTCGACTGAGAAGAATCACTTCCGAGAATCATATTCTTAGAATCTCCATGATGTCCATCCTGGGTTGACTGTGTCTCTGTCTGTCCCCAAGCCCTAGGTATCCTGGAGCATCAAGGTGATGCAATTTAGGGGAGGAGAGTTGGAAGAATTGAAGGGGAAGCGCCCATGAGGGCAGGGGAGAGGGGAGACTGTTCCTATTTTCCTCTCAAAGCCTGTGCCTCCATCTCTCCTAGGTGAATATGAGAAGCACTCTTTGTCAGCCTGGCCAAGCCCTGTGGTTCCCTTAGGACAGACTGTGACTCTTCAGTGTCACTCCTGTTCTCCACTTGCAATATTCAGACTGTTCAAAAGAGATGGGACCAGTTTGCCCGAGCTCCAGGGACATCATGTCAACACCTTCACCCTTGGCCCGGTGACCAGAGATCATGCCGGGTCCTACACGTGTTGTGGATTCGACAGGTCTCTCTCTGTGTGGTCTGGTGTCAGTGACCTCCTGCAGATTGTGGTCACAGGTAGGAGGGGCCCATCCAGCCCGGGATGGCCGAGCCTGCAGGCAAATCTACCCTAGGTCCACATGCCAGTGCACCCAAGGCTACTAAGGATTCCCAGTCAGGAGCGAACCAGTGAAAGAGAACCCACTCTGAGAGTCTGGGACCCCACAGAGTCAGACATGAGTGAAGCGACTGAGTATGCATGCATGAAGCTGAGAGCAGATTCAACAGCTAAAGAGTTTAGAATAAACACAGAGGAGGCTGGAGGTCTTGAGCAAAGGGAAAGAGAAAAGCATGAGCCAGAGTCTGAGAACAAGGCTAGAGAGAATGCCACAGAACAGACAGGAAGGGTAATTGGCTCTGCTGGTTAACGGGAACATTTCTCAAACCTTCAGATGTCAGCGGAAGCACTGACATGGGGTGACCACTGAAGCTCACAGCCTCTTTGCTCCTAGGTGTGTTCACAAAACCCTCCATCTCAGCCCACCCAGGCCCCATCGTGCAGGAGGGAAGGAATGTGACCCCTCGCTGTCAATCACAGCTGTTGTTTGACACGTCTATCCTGCACCAGGAAAACAACACACGGCATTTCAAGATACATGCAGAGATGTTCACGGGCGGGCATGCCCCAGCTGACTTCTTCATTGGCCCCATGACTTTGGCGAGTGTGGGCTCCTACAGATGCTACAGCTCTCTCAGCCACTCCCGCTATGAGTGGTCAGCCCCCAGCGACCCAGTGGACATCATCATCACAGGTGAGTGTGCCCAGACCAGTCCCTTCTGCTGTCTGTGTCACAGAAGGTCTGGTGTCCAGTCCAGCATCAGTACCAGGAGACAATGACAGGTGTGCAGAGACACTCACACACTCGGGAGAGGGAACAAACCAGAGAGAGAGGAGGTGTGAACACGGAAGGGAAAGAGAACAGAGCACCTGCCATGCGGTAAAGAGAAGACACAGCCGGTGACAGAGTGAAGCAGAAAGAACGTGAAAGAACGAGCGATGGAGGAAGATGCACCAGGGCAGGGCAGCACTGAAAACTCGCTCAAGATTGAAGTGGTCTAAGATCCAATGAGATTCTGACAATCTCCCAGCCATAATGTCTGTTTCTGGGTCAGTACCATGTTTTCTATGGTACCAGCAGAACCTAGTAGGTTCTGTCTTTCAAGAGAACCCCACATCATGTTGATTTTTAAAGTATATTTTTTATTTATTTTTGTTGAGGTCTAGTTGATTTTTGATGTTGCTAATTCCTATTGTACATAAGACTGATTCAGTTGTTCATATACATACATTTCTTCAGAGAAAGGATATTAAATGACAGTCCATTATTAAAGTTATATTTGAATTTTTCCCTGTGCTCTGTATTCGTTGCTGTGGGGCTTTCTGTCCTGCTGGTGGGCGGGCTTCTCAAGAAGTGCTTCTCTTGTTGCACACTTCGGGCTTTAATCCTCTATTTAGGACTTGAGTCACTCAATGCTCTAAGATCAAGGTCTCCTCCTTCTACGTCTGTCCAAGAAACCCTCTCTCTCAGCCCAGGGGGGGCCTGTGATGAAGTCAGGAGAGAATGTGACCTTGCTCTGCAGCTCCAAGCGCGTCTTTGACCAGTTCCATCTGTTCAGGGAGGGGAAGAACCTTGGGCGCCTGCTCGCAGGAGGGTGGGACTCTCGCGGAGCACTCCAGGCAGCGTTCCCTCTGGGTCCTGAGACCCCAGCCCACAGCGGGGTCTACAGGTGCTATGGCTCCTTCACTCACTCTCCCTACTCGTGGTCAGACTCCAGCGACCCCCTGCTCCTGTCTGTCACAGGTGAGGAACCCTTTCCTGGCCCATGCTTTCTTGTTTCTGTTCAGTCGATAAGTTGTGTCCAAATCTTTGTGATCACGTGGACTGCAGCATGACAGACTCCTGTGTCTTTCACTATCTCCCCTTCGTGGATCACAGCCTTGTCGTGATGAAGCTGCTTGTGTAACTCAATGAAGCTATGAGCCATGTTGTGCAGGGCCGCCCAAGACTGATGGGTCATAGTGAATAGTTCTGACAAAAGGTGGTTCCCTGGAGGCGGAGATGGTAACTCACTGCACTATTCTTGTTTCCAGAGCGCCAAGAAGTGTCCCCTGCTTTACAATGCACTAAATAACATTGCATTGGCCAAGAAGTCCGTTTGGCTTTTTCCATAAAACTTACTATATCACTGAGTTCTGTCTCAAGGGCCCTGTGCTGGTGTCAGGGGAACCTTAGGGCTTCTGGAGAAATGGAGGCAATGAGAACCAGAGAGGAAGAGAGATGGTCGATGGCATCTCAACCCGCTTCCACCTCCTGTATGGATGGTTCTCATCAGAGTCCTGTCTATCCAGGCAAATAAAGAAAAGGTTCAGGGTAGACCCAGGAGGAGGAGAGGCTGGCTTGATTTGGGAAGATCAGAGATTGCATCCACCCCCTTGCTCTTAGTGTTTTCCCAGAAGCACCTCTGAGACACAGGTGATTTCACAGTTAAGGAGAATCAGTACTTATTCCCAGAGCAGAGAGAATGTCTCTTGCTTACAGCTATCTTTCACCACCAGGCATATCCTTCCCGTATCCTTCCACCATCACTTCTCCAGGATGGAGGGTCTACTCAACGCATTCACAGGGAGGGACCAGGAGCTCTCCCCTCCCCCTTCAGTGTTCTGGGGGATGACAGAGTAAGGACAGGCAGGAGGTCGTTTCAGAAAGAATAGTCCTCAATCAGTGGGTATGAGGAAGGTTACCTGCTCACCCATTTGTCTTCTTTCCCCTAGGATCCACTACAAGTACTTGCCCATCAACCATGGATCCACACACCACAGAAGGTAACCTAGATGGTCTCCTATCTCAGCAAATTTCTGAGAAGACAGAGGGTTTCTGTGTGACTGTTGGTCCTACCACCTCCCATTTCTGTGATTTGGGCTCCTCAACATCCGGGTCTTATCCACATTTGAGATCATGGTCTGTATTAGAGCCAGAGGGGGGATTGATTTCTCATTCTCTGGGGCTGGGATTTTCTAAATTGAAGAAAGTGAGACAGAGTGACTTGACCCCATACTTAAGGGAGATGCTTCTCCTCCCTCCACCAGTATTTGGGGAAGGATGGCTTTAGACAAGCAGAGAATTTTAGGGAGCACATGAAAGATGGGCTATTTCTCTGTTAGTGTTTTATGAACAAAACACTCCACAGTTCAGAAATAGAAGTATTGTGTCTTCTTGAGGATTCCATTCCAGGTATATGTGGATGGAGGGGGAAATGTATTGAGGATTAAAGCAGTCCCCATTCATGCAAAAATACCATGCCTTGTCTTACGTGAAGCAGAGAAAAATTGCATCAGTGCCTGGGGGACCTTGGTTCAGACCTCTGCTGGTCTGCACAGCCTCTTTACTTTATCCACTGCTAGCATGTCTGCTGGATGCTTTGGTACCTGCTGGGAAGTGGAGACCATCACTGATCAGGTCGAGAGATGCTGACACACTTTGACACAAGGATACAATAAATCCTGTGTGTAGGGGCAGGGTGTATGCAACAAATAACCAGATTTTCTTCTTTTTGCTTGTTGGCAGAAGCACGGCTTCCTCAAAGCCACTCCAGCCAGCTGCACCTTCTCCTTAGTCTCTCCGTAGCCTTCATCTATACAAGCATCTTCCTCACTGTTCTTGTCTGTCACTGGTTACACAAAATGTAAGTCTGAAAAGCCAAACTGTCACTGGTGTTCTAACCAAAATCATAAGTCTGAAGGAGGGAAGCACAGTGTCATCTGACCCAGCGGGAGGTGGGCTCATAGTAGAGAATGGCATTTTCACTTCCTGTAGGTTAAGAACTGATTTTCATTGTTGTATTCCCTGAGGGAATATCTTCCAGAAAACCATGGAACCCTGTTCTTTATATGAAAATATGTGTTCATTTATTTCTGGCTGCAGCAGGTCTTGGCAGCAGCATGGGGGATCTTAATTGTAGTGCTGGGGTGCAGTTCAAGGCTCCAGAGCTCACGGGCTCAGGAGTTGCAGCCTGTGGGGCTTAGCTACTTCACAGCAGGTGGGGTCTCGGTTCTCCCACCAGGGACAGAGCCCACACTCCCTGCACTGGAAGGACGACTGTTTATCCCCGGCCACCAGGGACTTTCCAAACCCTGATCTTCCCTCCAGCCACAGCCATCTGCTCTTATCCCCTTTATGATCCTGGGAGTCTGCTGAGATGCAGTAGAGGATGGTCCATAACAGAAGACATACAATGGACTCTGTGTGTCTGCACAGGTTCCAGAGAGAATCCATCAGTGGCTGGGCTTGCATATGGGATTTTTTTTTTAAATTTAGTGGAATAGACAGGCTCAGCAACCTGGGGCACACCCATGCTTTTTCCTATCTTTGATGTCCCCACCAAAGATATGGAGATCTAGAAGAATCGCCCCCAACCTAAGAGCCTTGACCTTCCATTTGCAGATGTTGCAATCATGGAAGGAGAGCCCAAAGAAGACAGAACAGTGAACAGTGAGGTGAGTCCTCCCTGCCCAAACCCTTGCCATAGCCCGAGCCCCTCAATTGCCCAATGCCTCAGCCTTCAAAGATCGCATGTCAGTCCATCAGTCACACTTCCTTCCTCTCAGGACTCTCCAGGAGAAGACGTGATATACGCCCATGTGGACCACGGGACCCTCTCTGAGAGATTGTTCACTCCCACTCCCCTGAGCCCCATGAACCTCTCTGCTGATCCCAGTATCTACGAGGAACTCGATGCAAACCAAGACCATGCTGAGCCCTGATCTGCCCCATCCTTGAGCACACAGAATATTATAAAAAAAAGACTGGATCTGTTTATAAAGAGGTTTCTCTGTGGATACTCCTTCTCCTGCAAAGCGGCCCAGCAGCTCTGAGGTGAAGAGTGGAGTCCAAGAATTATAGGATCGTCTTCAGAAATATCACAACCTATTTGCAATCCCCTGGCTATTCTAATACTCTATTTTAAGTATCAAATCTTTGGGGAGAAGTTATTATAATCAATTGCACTTACTAGGTAGG